AATTTGTGAAAATGAATCATGAGTTAGTCAAATAATTTAATTCTAGCCACGGCTGACCAGCCAATCGGATTTAGATAGACGGTTGCTCTTTTGACAAAGGACTCGGATTCTGTGCCAGTATTTGTCAAGCCCAATATACAGGCTACCAGATCGTCCATAAACATAACATAGTATAGCGCTGATATATCCCATTCTGACTTGTGTACTTAAAGCACATCTTGATAACAGCTACCAAAAAAAGGTGGTCTAGAATATAATTTGATTGATTCAATACTTTTTCAGCTTCTTTTCTAATCTCCACAGTTTCAGAATTAGGTAAATACCAAATATCATCTATACTGAAACCACCTTTGTATGTGAATCAATCACTGTGACAATCTTCTAAAACCTTGGTTAACATACAATATAAGTGCCGGGCAAAATCACCAAAAGCAATGACAAAAGTTGCTTTGTTTCACGTCCGTAGGTCAGCAGTCAAGTCTACCCTTTCAAAAAAACCACCCTCCAGTCACCCTCCAGTCTTGCTCTCTCGATAACGTGTTTGAAAGCAATTGGAATATTGCAATTGGAATATTTCTATGACCACCTATCAATCTATGCCTGGACATCAAAATGCATGATTTCTAAATAATAGTGCAGGCCTCGGCTGTCTTACCATCACACAGGAAGTAGATGTCATCTAAATAAATACCAGCTTATCCATTGCCTTACTGACAGCATATTCCAAGGTAGAAAATATTTGACAAATACTTCAACTTCCTCACCCAGAAGACAGCATATTCAAGGTAGAAAATATCTTGACAAATACTTCAACTTCCTCACCCAGAAGATATACTGTAACCTTGACAATAATCTTGACAGCATATTCCAAGGTAGAAAATATCTCTTCCAAGGTAGAAAATATCTCTTTCTCTTTGTCAAGATATTTTCTACCTTGGAATATGCTGTCAGTAAGGCAATGGATAAGCTTGGTATTTATTTAGATGACATATACTTCCTGTGTGATGATAAGACAGCCGAGGCCTGCACTATTCTTTAGAAATCATGCATTTTGAGGTCCAGGCATAGATTGAGAGGTGGTCACAGAAATATTCCAATTGCTTTCAAACACGTTATCGAGAGAGCAAAACTGAAGGGTGGCTTTTTTGAAAGGGTAGACTTGACTGCTGACCTACTTTTATCATTGCTCTTGGTGATTTTGCCCGGCAATTATATTGTATGTTAACCAAGGCTTTATAAAATTGTCACACTGATGGATTCACATACAAAGGTGATTTCAGTATATAGATGATATTTAGTATTTACCTGATTCTGAAACTGTGGAGATTAGAAAAGAAGCTAAAAAAGTAATCAATCAAATTATATTCTGGACCTCCTTGTTCTGGTAGCTTTTATCAAGATATGCTTTAGGTACACAAGTCAGAATGGGATAGATCAGTGATATACTATGTTTATGAACGATCTGGAAGCCTGGATATTGAGCTTGACAAATACTGGCACAGAATTTGAGTCCAAGGTCAAAAGAGCAACCGTCTATCTGAATCTGGTTGGTTGGTCAGCCACAGCTAGAATTAAATTATTTGACTCTCTCATGATTTATTTTCATGAATTGCCTCAAACAGATAAAGTTAAGTTCGAGAATGCTCTTGGCGGTGGTTCTTCTAACAAAAGTAGTGGTGTTTCTTCTAAGAAACATACTATTATTGCTTCGGTCTCTTATACTTGGATAAATAGAATGACTTCACTGGAAATGAAAAATTTTCTGCTTAATGCTCCAAATAAGAAAACTTATCCTGGTGATTTTTTTTGAAAGGCTTGATTTTAGTAGATGTTTCATAACTCATGTTAAGAACAAAGTAAGTATGTTCTCCATATTTCGTTTACACATCTTATTAATCTACAGTATATATTACAGGTGAGGTCAGAGAAGCCTTGAAAAGGATGAAAGGGGGCAAAGCGATGGGCCCTAATGGTATCCCAATCAAGGTGTGGAGATGTCTCAGGGATATAGCTATAGTATGGCTAACCAAGATGTTCAACAATATCTTTATATTGAACAAGATGCCTGAGAAGTAGAGAAGAAGCATATTGATACCAATCTACAAGATCAAGGGAGATATCCAAAGTTGTACTAATTATCGGAGAATTAAGTTGATGAGCCACACTATGAAGTTATGGGAGAGAGTCATCGAGCAGCACTTTTGCGCCGAAATGACGATATATCAACAAATCAATTTGGTTTCATGCCTGGAAGGTCAACCACAGAAGCAATCTTCTTAATAAGACAGGTTATAGAGCAGTTTAGAGAGCAGAAGAATAACCTCCACTTGGTTTTCATTGACTTGGAGAAGGCTTATGACAAGATACCAAAAAATATTATGTGGTGGTCTTTGGACAAACATAAAGTCCCATCAAAGTACGTGACCCTCATCAAAGACATGTACAACAATGTTGTGACTAGTGTTCGAACAAACGATGTTAACACAGATTACTTCTCGATTAAAATTGGACTTCATCAAGGGTCAGCTTTAAGCCCGTATCTCTTTGCCTTGGTAATGGACGAGGTTACCAGGAACATACAAAGGGATATCCCTTGGTGTATGTTGTTCGCTGATGATGTAGTGCTAGTGGACAAAAGCCAGGCGGGAATAAATAGAAAACTAGAGTTATAGCAGCAGACCCTTGAGTCTAAAGGTTTTGGATTGAGCAGAACTAAAACCGAATACATGAGATGCGACTTTGGTGGAGGTGTACAGAAGGAGGGAGATGTGAGTTTGGAAGGTCAAGTAGTGCCAAAGAAGGATACATTTCGATATCTGAGATCGATGCTACAGAGGGATGGAGATATTGATGCGGACGTTAGCCATAGAATCAAAGCAGGGTGGATAAAGTGGCGACAAGCTTCTGGCATTCTCTGTGACAAGAGGGTACCACAAAAGCTAAAAGGCAAGTTCTATAAAACGGCGATTAGACCGGCTATGTTGTATGGAGCAGAATGTTGGCCTACAAAGATTCGACATGTTCAACAATTGAGTGTTGCAGAAATGTGTATGTTGCGATGGATTTGCGGTCACACAAGAATGGACGGAGTTCGGAACGATGATATATGTGATCGCCTAGAGGTAGCACCAATTGAAGAAAAGCTTGTCCAACATCAGTTGAGGTGGTTTGGCCACGTCCAAAGGAGACCTCCAGAGGCATCAGTGCATTGTGGAGTCCTAAATCAAGCTAATAATATGAGAGGAAGACCGAAATTGACATGGTGGGAGGCAATAAAAAGAGATTTGAAAGCTTGAGATATCCCTAGAGATCTATGTTTGAATAGGAGTAATTGGAAAGCAGCAATTGAAGTGCCTGAACCGTGACTTGGGGCTCTTGGTGGTTTTCAACTCTAGCCTACCCCAACTTGTTTGGGACTGAAAGGCTATGTTGTTATTGTTGTCCATTGTATATGCAATGATCTCACTTAACCTAAAAAACAAAACACAAAGCACGAGGTTTCTGCAACAAAAATCTAATTAAACCACAACTATGGATTTTTTGTTCGTTTCAATCAAATTACTATAAATATAAAAACATAACAGCAAAACTTTTGTAATCTCTTTTTCCCTAGGACGGCAAACATCTAATCTGTATCCTGCAGTGGCATCCATAATTTGGTTACCAATGAGAAAAACTATCTGACGTATCAATAGCTAAGAAAAAAAGGTGAGGTAAAATGCAGCTACTGAAGCCAAGAATTTAAGCATAGTGGCATCTTAGTGTTGGAGATCATGTAAAGCAAAAGAAAAAGAAACATATTTGATATCATACCGTCTATGAGAATACCCCTATTTATGAGTATGATAGGGTTGTTTGGGTATTTAAACTGTGATAGATAGAGTAATCTCAGTGATTGCACTAATAGCATTTGTGAGATAGGACAACAGTTGTTTTTTCTTTAAAAAAAGGTATATCGTAAGTGTTAATTTGGTAAAACTTCATGCAGGCTACGTACCATGAAAATTTCAATTTCCAATGGCCCAGCAAAAATTTTGCTGGTTAGGGTGTTTGATCAACGAAGTAGGAAAAGGATGAGCATCAACCGCTTAGAAGGACGATGAAGGTGTGTAACAGCCTGCATCCTGTTTACCACAAGAGAAATAGGAGGAAAGTGGATCTATTAATTGCCACAGATAGGTTATCAGAGTCAAAGCACAAATCATGTATACCTCAGTTACTGGAACTTGCATTTCGCATGAACCTGTAGCAAGGCAGAGAATAGTGAGGCCACAATCCAAAACTATTTTCCCATAAGAAATGGTAGTAAAAATCGATCTAAGAAAGTGTGAGATAAGCATGCACCAAAATTCATAAGTGTATATAAGTGTGGCTGTCAATGGGTTCAGACATTTCGCTATTCGAAGCTGAATATACTGTACAGTGACTTACAGGTGACATGACTGCATTAGCAGAAACAATGAATTGAACTTAGTTTGTAGGGAGGCTACTACCAGGAAAGTAACCGGGATTAAATTATGAGTGAAGAAGATGAATTGAACTTAGTTTGTAGGGAGGCTAATACCAGGAAAGTAACCGGGATTAAATTATGAGTGAAGAAGAACAAATATTCTGTCAAAAGTACTAGAGTCTGATATATTTTGCAACTATGAAGTAAAAAATATAGGAGGCTAATACATTTTACAACCATGAGTACTGAAGCGTAACCAAAAAAAGCAATTTTTTCTATGTGGACAAATAGAATTTTGGTATGAGTTTTGTAGTACAATTATGCACAAGCAAAAGCTACATTTACAAATGCTAATGTGGTAGTGGATCTAGATGTTTCTAGTCGGAAAAATATCAATGGCTTGGTTGCTTTTCATAGAACAAATTTAACTATCCTGTTACTAACCTGGACCAGCAGAATCATGACAGGTAAAGTCTGTGTTTGAACGAATTTTTAAAAACCATGAGATAGCTACAACAAACGTTGAACAAAGCCACTATTATCAACCTGTTCAAAGTGAATTGGTCTGAATGTTTGATTTTTTTTGGTCCATCAAAACATCCTCGAGAAGTTCATGAGCTTTTGTGTAGTCTTTTTGTTTCAACTGGAGGAGTTCCTTGTGGTACTTGTGAGAGAGTGCAAATTCCTGTCAGCATCAAAAAGGAATCTTAGCGACACAATGATATTGCGATACAGAAAGTCATTACAGATCCTTCAGATATCCCGCTGAACCATGATATAGGCAAGGCTTGCACCGAAACAGTTTTTCTAACCATGTATCTCCTTCCACAAGAAAAGTAGCACTTGAAAGGAACACCTAAAGTATTCAGGCTATTCATTCATTGCAGGCGTGTTTGAAATCAAAGTAATGTATGAAAATACCACTTTTTAAGGATGCACAACACCAGGCCCACAAAGCAATGGCGTGAGGATACTGCATTTGTGTGCAGTGTCATAACACTCATCAAATTTCTCAAAACTGTCAAAGTTGTTCACAACTGCAAATTTACTCATCATGCATGGACATCTCTAATGATATCTTTTACTGACACATGTGGCATGCAAAATAGACCTAAGCATGCAGCGAGAGTCTTTACGAAACCAAATCTCGTCACCACATTGCTGTACCTGAATTTCAACATAACTCTAGATAGAGAATATAGTAACTTAAATTCTAAAAGGCCAAACCACCACCATGCCCACATCCACTATTTGGAATTGCATTTGGAACTACACTTGCTTCATTCTCTGAGATATCCAATAAAAACAATCAGTAAGAACAACACTTCACAAACTAGTACCACCAGTGTTGGTCCAACATGCAGTGCTTATAGCACATTGTTCTCAAGAGATGAAAATTGCAGTAGCAGAATGACATTCCGAGAGAAAATGCATTACTGACCGAGAACGGGACACTGTCAACTCTTTTCACTCTGATGGCCATGTCCACTTATGAGTCCTTGCTGATCATTCGCTTAGAACCATTGCTAGACTCAATCAATAGCAAAAAAGCAGGGGCAAGTCCTCCTGATCTTATCATAAAAAATAACCAATGATGAGAACTTTGTAAGTATGAACCTAGAAAGGGAATATGCGGTGCAGGAAAGATTACATACTGAAACATGAATCTTCTCAAAAAGCTGCACAAAGAGTGACTGAACCAAGCTGTGGATGCACATCATCTTTACTGCAGCCGAAAAATACATAGTTAGTACACAAGATGCTCAGAACAACCAAAACAGGGATATGTATATCAGGTAGGGTGATCATAAGATCAGGTAGAAACCTTCAAACACTACGAAAAATTCAGGTTTAGATTTTTGAGATCGGATACAGCTGGTCGGAGTGAAGTGAGCAGCGAAGACATTTCACCATGAGGCACGGTATTAGGAGCTCGTCGTTCCCTGCACTTAGCAATAATTTGGGATGTCTTAGATTGGAACCCCTGACTATTGGAAATCAGCAAAAGAAAAAACAAAATGATCAATGAAGCCTATATATCTGTTGCAAAAGCCAAGGCAAGATTAATATAGATTTTCACAAAGATATCATTGACCACGAATAGAAGGACAACGTTTGTGGACCAAAGTTTGATAATGGGAATAGATGTATGTTTTCTATAAAACATTGGAACTGGTCAGTTCAAAGTGATGAGGAAGATGAATGAATAATTTGTAATCAGTGTCGAAAAGGATTCCATACCCTGCTTGACATAATTCAGCCGAAGCACGATTTCCACTAATACAAATTCCTTTTGATGACGGTGCAATGTAGGAGCAGAACTGAGGAACAATCGGAGATGTGCAGCTGCATTCCATGAAACATTGGAGACTAACTCATGAATTTACTCAAGAGAATGATACATGCAGGGTCCCAGGCAAGGCATACCTGCAGCTAACAATGAATCCAAAAGTTGCCGTAGCGTAGCACCAGCCCCAGCAAAATCTAATAATCTTGAACCTTCTTCAGGAAAAGCTACTGGAGAACAAGAAAAAGCTTGATCAGGCAGTATGTAATAAGAATTACATGAGTTGGCAATATTGTTGCAACAGTACTGGGTACCTCAGTGTCCATGGCATCAACTACCCTTGCCCATGCTGACAATATTGTAATGAGATTTAGCAAAGCAACCTTCGGGAAAAAGAGTTATTGAAATCAATTAGCATCCTGATTATTGAAAACATGAAGAGCAGCATGGCATTATTAGAAAAGGACATACCCAAAGGAGAGATGACGGAGAAGGAGGAGAGGGTCAGTACCGGCAGATGTAGCTGCCGAGCGGAGCCGCCACCGTCGCCGCCGGCAAGGAAGATGCCACGCACAGCCGTGGGAGGCTCGTGGCGCCGCCGGATACGTCGAGCACAGGCGGCTAGGGTTTCGTCAGCATAGGCGAATGGCGCGGGAGACGGCGGCAGGGAGAAGCCACGCCGCGTGGCCACCGGTGAGGCACACCCGGGCCGCTCCGTGGCCGGCGAAGCCCACCACCGGGGCCCACGTGCGGCGCTGCGCCGCTGTCCGGGGGCGCAGTCGCACCAGCAGCGCGCCGCGTGGCCATCCGGCGGCGCTGGGCCCGGCCGACACGCCGCCACGTCGGGAGAGAGGAAGAGGTTGAGAGAGAGGGAGGAAGGGAAGGTGGGAGCGGAGGCGACGGAGGCGGCGTCTGCGGGAGGATCGGCGGCGGTCGGGGAGACGAGCGAGTGCGAGAGAGAAGAGCCCAGACGAGATATTTTGAGAAGCTTCAGGAAGGAAGCCGAAGCTGGCTATATATTTAGTTGGTTGGATTTGGACGAGAAGCCGAAGAAGTAGAGAAGAAGGTGAAGAAGGCAGGGAGAATCCGGGAAGCCGCTTCGATAGGATTTTGCGGAAAGAAGGAGAGCCATCGGATTGGAAGATCTAATGGACGAAAAACTTTGAGATGACGTGGCGCTTGGTTCTCCGCGGGAAGCCGACGCACTCTGTGGGGTTAAAAATAAATAAATAAAATAAAGGAGAAGCGTCTGACAAATTCATCAAGCATGAATCACACAGATAAAAAAATATTAATTGAAACAGCAGTGTGGTAGTAACAACCTCACTCACTATCTTCCATTGCCTGCAGCTCTGCTGCAGGGCAGTGTTCCACAGAACTCCTCTCGCGGGAACATTGCTTCATTGTGAGGAAGTTGGAAGAAGGTTGCATGATAAGGGTCTCAAAAATATGTGGCCTGTTCGGTTGGCTGATTCGTATCATTGCTGGTTCGTGAAGAAGTACTGCTGGCTGGTTTGTGTGAGAGAAAACTATTGTTCCGGCTGGAAATTTACGATCGTATACGACAAGCACAAGCCAAACAAACAGGCTGATGGTAGTTGTGAACAAGTCCGTGCCATAGAAGCCTCTTGTAGCGCATGTCAAAGATGTAGAAGTGATCAACCAAAGGGCGGTCACGTTGTGGGAGTATGCTCTGGTCAACCAGCACGAAGCATAGGGCACCGTCTGCCGTGAGGATCGGGTACTGGAACGGCGCTGGCGGCAACCAGGACTCCTTGAAGCTGGGCAGCTCCCAGAGCACCTTGGCATGAACCTTTTCGACTTCCTTCAATTGCACTTCTGTCCTCTTCCTCTTCCCCTCCAGCTGCCCCCTAGGCAGGGGCAATTGCAGCTCCCATATGGCCATACCCACACCAGAGCATTGGAGTAATGCGAGGGATACAAAAACTTGATGGTATGGCTAACGTCTAGACGTCCGGACGAATGCCCGCGGCTCCTGCTCCATTTCAGGCGCACGTGGGAACCTCCACGCCTCTCGTCCGCACCCCCTCTGCTTCCCGCGCCCGCATGCACGTGGGCCCACACGCCCCTGCCTCCTTCCCCCTCCGCTCCCGTGCCCGGTGCATGTATGGCGCCCCAACAGCTCCCGTTTCACATGCCCGCGACTGCCCGCGCCCCTGCCTCCATCCCCCTCCGCTTCCCACGTATGTATGCGCCCTACTTAGCAAAGAAGCAGTGAGGGGCTGCAGTAGGTGGGTTCCCATTGGATCTACTTTTACAACATCCAAACAAAACACTTGGAACATACATTCAAAACAAGAGAAACACTTGCAATATACGTCTGAAAAACTTGCAAAACACTTGAAAAATACTTAAAAACATGTGTAGCCATTGTAAAACATATGCAACAATCAGATGAAGCACTTGCAACATACATATGAAACACCTAAAACACTTGAAACATTCACTTGCAACATGCATGTATATGCAACATCCAGATCTACTTTTGCAACACCTAGATAAAAGCGCTTGAAACATATGTCCTAAAACACTTGAAACATAAACACAACTTTGAAAGCTCTAGTTTGGTTTTGGTGAATTGATGAAACCCTAAGTGCTAACCTAGTTTATCAAGTGATCTTGATATGGGTAGCACACTCCAAGTGGTGAAGCAAATGAAGATCATAACATGATGATGGTGATGCCATGGTGATGATCAAGTGCTCGAACTTGGAAAGAAGAAAGAGAAAAACAAAAGGCTCAAGGCAAAGGTATAAATTGTAGGAGCCATTTTATTTTGGTGATCAAGACACTTAGTGAGTGTGATCATATTTAGGATCGATAGCCGTACTATCAAGAGGGGTGAAACTCGTATCGGAAAGCGGTTATCAAAGTGCCACTAGATGCTCAAACTCATTGCATATGCATTTAGGATCTAGTGGAGTGATAACACCCTTGAAAATATTTGTGAAAATATGCTAACACATATGCACAAGGTGATACACTTGGTGATTGGCATATTTGATCAAGGGTGGTGAAGTTTGGGTGCAAGGGTAAGAAACTCCACCGGCGCCCTAGACAGAAAAGACGGAGGTCACTAGGTGTGACCGGACGCTGGTCTCGGTTGGACCGGCGCGTCCGATCAGTGGCAGCAGAGGGCGTGCTTTTCGGTCTCATGACCAGACGCTGGGTCACTCAGCGACCGGACGCTGGCGGGGTGCGTCCAGTCAGTGCTGACGTACACTGACGTAGGGCGTATAGAGGAGACGTTGTGTGACCGAACGCTGGCTGTGTCCGATCAAGCATGACCGGACGCATCCGGTCGAAAAAAATCACGTTTGGAACCTTAGTGGAAACGACCGGACGCTGAAGTCCAACGTCCGGTCACTTTCTAACTGACGCGTCCGGTCAGCAGACGACCGTTGAAATCTGACGAACAGTATTTAAAGCAGGGGACATATGGCATGAATCACGTGACCGGACGCTGAGGGCGAGCGTCCGGTCACCCGTCATTTGTTTTACCGGTGAAGGGGTACAACGGCTCTATTTCATGGGGGCTTCTATTTAAGCCCCATGGTCGGCTCAAGCTCACCCTCTTGGCCATTTGCATTGACATAGCAACCTTGTGAGCTTAGCCAAAGCCCTCTCACTCATTTCCATCATAGATTAAACATCTTTGTGAGATTAGAGGAGAATCCAAGTGCATTGCTTGAGTGTTTGCATCTAGAGGCACTTGGTGTTTGTGTTTCATTCGCGAGATTTGCTTGTTACTCTTGGTGGTTCTTTGACACCTAGACGGTTTGGAGCAGATGTGAGGATCGCCGAGCGGAGGTGGTGATTGTCTCGGCTCCGATCGTGGTGATTATGAGGGTTCTTGACCTTTCCCGGTTGAGCGCCAAAAGGTACTCTAGTGGATTGCTCGTGGCTTATGTGATCCTCATCTTGTGTTGGTTGTGCGGCACCCTATTGAGGATTTGGCGTGTTATGCCAATTAGCCCGTGAACCTCCAAATGAGTGTATCGCCACAATGAGGACTAGCTTACCGGCAAGCAAGTGAACCTCGGTAAAAAATCATTGTGTTCATCATTGATTCCGAGGTGATTGGTCTTTATTGTTATCCACACTTGTGATTGATTGGTTCATACATCTACACGGCGGTATAACCTTCTTGCCTACTCTTTATATTACCGCAAACTAGTTGTCAAGCTCTTTAGTGTAACTAGTCGTGAGAGCTTGCTTGGTTGGTTGGTGTGGCTCTTTATCTAGCCTTTGAGAGCACACTAACATAGAGTAGTGTCAAAGCTATTGTGTGAATAGATTCTACCTAAACTAGAATTGTGGTAGGTGACATGCATTTTTAGTAGGCTAGCATAAAACTCGTCTTCGCCTCATAATTGTCTAATTCGTTTGTTAAGTGTTGTTGTAGAAATTTTTATTAGGCTATTCACCCCCCCTATAGCCATTAGGACCTTTCAAGTGGTATCAGAGCCGAGGTCACCGTGATTTGAGGCTTAACAACCTTCGGTGTAAAAATGGCTCAAATCAACAACACTAAGAAGCCACCCCAATTTGATGGCACAAATTATCCATATTGGAAGTTAAAGATGACCACATATATCAAGTCAATCAATAGAAAGGTGTGGAAGGTGGTAGAAACCAAAATTGAGATTGATGATCTGGAGAATCTCACCGCGGCCGAAGAAGTGCTTCTCCAAAACAATGATATCGCTCTAAGTGCCATTCATGATGCAATTGATGAAAGAACATTTGAGCAAATCAAGAATATTGAGATGGCTCATGAGGCTTGAAAGAAATTGGAAGAATCATTTGAGGGCACTCAAGCCGTGAATGGTGCAAAGGCATACATTCTCAAAGAGAAGTTTGCAAGCTTCAAGATGAAGGAGGATGAGAGTGTGCCGTTGATGTTCCATAGGCTTCAAGTGTTTGCCAATGATCTCAAAGCACTTGAAGAAGAGGTGAAGGACAAGGACTTCTCCCACGAGTTCTTGAGATGCTTGCCTTCAAGATTTGGGACATTGGTCACTATTCTAGTGAGGAGCGGTTTGGACACCATGACACCAAACCAAGTGTTGGGAGATATAATGACCAATGACACATATAAAGATGATGAGAAGGAAGAAAAGAAGGAGAAGAAAAATGAGAAGAAGGATGAGAAGAAGAAGAGCATGGCATTCAAAGCCACATCATCCAAGGGCAAAGCCAAGCAAGAAACATCAAGTGAAGAAGATGATTCATGGGATGGTGATGATGATGAGAAGATTGCTCTCTTTGTCAAGAGATTTGGCAAGTTTATGATGAAGAAGGGCTATCGTGCTAGAAGAAAGAAGTCTTCATCCAAGAACAAGTAAGAGTCGAGAAGATGTTTCAAGTGTGGAAGCAAAGATCATCTTGTTGCTCAATGTCCATACAATAGCGACAATGATGATGACAACAAAAAAAGAACAAGAAGGACAAGAAGGACAAGAAGGAAAGAAAGAGAAGAAAGACAAGATGGCCTTCAAGAAGAAGAAGGTGGTTCATATGTGGTTACTTGGGATAGTGATGCTTCCTCAAGTGATGATGATGATGATAGTGATGATCATAAGACCACCAAGAAGAAGGTTCTAGCAAGCATTGCCATCAATGAAAAGCCTTCTCTCTTCGACTCTTCATCATGCTTTATGGCTAAGGCCACTAAGGTACAAACTTGTGATGATGAAAGTGATGAAGAACATGATGATGATAATAAAAATGAAAATGAAAATGATAGTGATAGTGATAATGATGAACCTACTAAGGATGAATTA